CCCTCAGCAGTGTACTTCGGTCCTTCTGCCTGCTCTGCTCCCTGCTCTGGCTCTGGTGAATTCTCTCACCCTCCTGCGCTTCTGACTGTACCCAGTGCTTGTATGCATGTATGTATCAATCAATCAATCAATAAATAAATCTTAAAAAAAAAAAAAAAAGCCCATTGCCAGACACATCTGATGCAGGCAAATTTTATATTTCAAAATGAAACAAAAGTTTTGACATTCAAATAGAATTATATTAACAAGAAAAAATTCCTTGATTCATAAAATATGTTAACATATTATACCATGTAATTTATTATTTTTAACCACAAAAATATGGTACAGTAAAACAGTCATAACTGAATATTAAAATGAATGTTTCTCACATGCAAAGCTATTAACAGAAGGCTATGGAAAAGAAGCAAACCACACATTAGAAAAAGAGAAACTCAGCTTGTGAAAGGCATAGGAAGGCAAAGAGGAATCAGAGGACAGAAAAAACAGATGGCCAAGGGTTAGTCAGATTTTGGAAAACGAACGTTTAAAGATACCATGAAATTTTATGTAGATGGGTATCAAATTCAAGTGAGGAAGAAAGATAGATCAAGTAATCTTGAAAATATGTAGAAAGTCCAGAGCAGAGATACACTGCCAAGTTTAAGTAAAAATTTACAGAGGCTAGGCTAACTGTAATTGCTTATACTTTCTAAAACAATGGGAATCTCTTTAAAAGGCATTAACAGCACGCAGGTGAGAACAACCAACATGATTTGACAGAGACAAAAAATATGTAAAAGAAGCACAGTGTTTTATTAAAAGCAATTCCTAAGACCACCCCTTTTCTTTGAAAAGGAATGTTTAAATATCATAGAGGAGTAATCTGTTGACTCTAGAGGAATTATCAAGTCTTGTATCTTCCAACTAGGATAAACGGCTTCTTGGTAAGGCTCCACTTCCTTCCATAATGTGGGAATCTCTGGCATGCAAATGGGGTTGGCATATATATTATGACATCCTCTCCTCTGTGAATGTGATGACAAGAATGACCTTATTTCCCATTAGATGTTGGTACATAAGATGGGAATTCCCCTGTTGGTATGGAGCAAGTTCTGCTTGATACAGACAGTGGAAGATTAGCATCACCATATAGTGGAAGGTTTTGCTAGAATCTGGTTAGGCAGTGAGGGCCTAACCAATGGATATACTCATAGTAAGAACCTGATAATGGCATTGTTGAAATTCTCAGAGTTGGCTAAAGATTATTTTGTATGTGCGGGTACAGAGTCTAAGATTGAGGTAATATAACTCTAAAAAGAGGACTGGGGCCTCCCCGGTGGCGCAGCGGTTGAGCGCTGGGTTGCGAAGCTGCCCGCAGCCTCTGCGGCACTGGTTCGATCCCCGGCTGCTCCCCGGCCACCGGAGGAGGGTCCCACATGGCGCGCAGACCTCTCCTGCCGCCCGCTGCTCCCCTCAGCAGTGTACTTCAGTCCCTCTGCCAGCTCTGCTTCCCGCTCTGGCTCTGGTGAGTTCTCTCACCCTCCCGCGCTTCTGACTGTACCCAGTGCTTGTATAAATAAATAAAATAAATAAATAAAAATAAATCTTAAAAAAAAAAAAAAAAGAAAAAGAGGACTGGGACACTGAGGTAATATAACTCCTAAAAAAGGACTGGGGCACTATCTTTTTTTCCCTTAATATCTCTTTCTTCCTGCAAAGTAGATGAAATCTTTAAATCTAGTGGTCAAATGGATCTAGGTGAGCTAATTTTTGACATGTTGGTTAATTCCTTCTGTTGAAAACACTGAATGGATCAATTTCAGTTTGTATCTGTAGTGAAACAGAGAAATACAGCCCCATAAACCATGAGTGTTTCTCCTGGCATAGGTAATAAGCACTAATTTTAGAGCTTTATGGCTATGTGCACTTCACTGACACTACCCAGGACAAGCTCTCCCTATCTCCAATTGTAAGCAGATAAATTATAAACCTGGGTTTCCCCAAAGGGCCATGTGTACAACAGGAAGCAATGCTCAACAAAACCCCAAATTTCTGTAAACTGCAATCATATTGCTTTAATGGGGGATAATATGGAATACTGGTAATAAGGTGGGGCCCATTGGGTGCCATTTTTGTTTTCTAAGACTGCAAGTTGGAGGCAACAGGACACGAAAAGAAAAGTCCCACAGATACATATCAGTTTTCAGTCAGACTCTACGACAAGTCTCCTATTATACTACTGTTGTCAAGCCATAGGTGGCAAAAAAATCATACATGTCAGGTTTGCAGAAGCCACGAACATTTAAAGTATAGAGTGAGAAAAAGCCATCAAGGATAAGAGGCACATGACAGGGTGGTTCAGAGTGTGTCAAGACAGGCCAACAGAAACAAAGAGCACACATCAGTAGTTTTAAAAACCAGGCAGCAGATATCAGAAGTGAGTGACTTAGCAAGTATAAGGAGGCCCCGGCTTACAGTCAGCAGTTCAACCTCTAACAACCTTCCTGTAGAAGCTTGTAGAAGCCCATCTGCTAGTAATACTACTGTAGTTTCTGGCCTTCCCCATGGAGGCAACTACAAACAGATCAAACAGGATATATGAAAGCAGACCCCATAATTACAAAATATTCAACTATATTACATTTTTAAACAAAAAAAGAGGGCCTCCTCTGGTGGCGCAGGTGGTTGAGCGCAGCCCTGTGAAGCCTCTGCAGCGGTTCAATCCTGGCCAGCCACGAGGGTCCCACGTGGCGTGGCAGACCTCTCCTGCCTCGCCAGCTGCTCTCCTCAGCAGTGTTTTTCATCAGTCTGCCTGTTCTGTTTCTCATTCTGTCTCTGGTGAGTCCTTTGACCCTCCCACGCATCTGGTCTCTACCCTGGTTCTTGTATGAATAAATAAATAAATCTTTAAAAAAAAAACATACAAAGAAAATTCTACCATGGTCTCCACCAGTATAGTTCAGTTATATTCATCCCAATATAAAGTTCATTAAAAGAGGACTATAACTACAACTAAAATGTTATATCTTTGTTGATTTTGTTGTTATATGATGTTAAATATGTGCAGTTACTACCAACATGAAAATCTCATGAATCTATTCACTATGTCTTAAAAAAAGTCTTATCCATATGAAAAACTTGACTCTAAAATACACACACTCCCTTGTTAAAATATAAGAGTAAACTCTTCTTCTTTTTTTTAAAGATTTATTTATTTATTTATTTATACAAGCACTGGGTACAGTCAGACGCGCGCGCGGGAGGGTGAGAGAATTCACCAGAGCCAGAGCAGGGAACAGAACAGGCAGACGGATGAAATACAATGCTGAGGGGAGCAGCAGGCGTGGCAGGTGAGGTCTGCGCGCCTTGTGGGACCCTCGCCGGCGGCCCAGGATCAAACCGGCGCTGTAGAGGCTCTGGGCAGCTTTGCAGCCCATTGCTCAACCGCTGCGTCACCAGGGGAGGCCCAAGAGTAAACTCTTCTTAATGATGCAGGATTGAAAAGACGCTTTAGCCCAAATGTTGACCTACCATTAAGAAGCTGTAATGTCCTAGATCAAAGAGTAAATATTTTCTAGAATGTAATAAGGAAGTTGAATTACATGGTCTTTAAGCGAAAATTCAGTTTTAAAAACATTATGCCTAGTTTTTTAGCTTAATTTTAATAGACTTTGGATAATCGCAATGGTACAGAAATGTGAAATTCAAAATCTGCTATAATTAAAGATAAAAATTCTAATAGTCTTTTTCATATCTAAAGAAAATCCAATATTATTTAGGGAAAATATAAGGTAAGCATTTTTAGAAGAATCTATTCCCCTACTTCTATTAACATACAGTTGAATAATTTAAAAATGCCTTTAATGAAACAAATATAAATCAATCTAATTTAAATCTAAAGTCTAATCTGAAGAACAACATAGTTTTCTTAGAAAAATTTAGTAGAGCAGTTGAATAATAATGTATTGGGAACAACAATTATATTTCTTACCCCTAGCTCTTTAAATTCTAGACATGAAAGCCACAAGAGCTCAGATCCCTAAAATGCCTTGGAAGGCAAGTTAAGGGGAAGGAGGACAGGAAAAAAAAAGGTGGGGGGAAACACACATACTGTTACAACTCCTTCCCAGGTTTAAAAAAAAAAATGCTTAGACTTTGGTGCTCTTTTTTTTGCTCTTTGTGAATAATGAACAAATAATTTCCCCACAACACTATTTTATAGTAGGTATAAGTTAGAATAGGTATAGTTAGAATCTATCTTATCTTACTAAATACACATGTACACATGTGTATACACACACACACACACACACACACGCAGAACTATAGTTATTTTCTATAGTAGTCCAAGTCTTTGTTCAGCACTGAAGCAGGTTTAGGGTGAAACAAGTTTATAAATCTCCATAGGAAATCTTACCCCTCCAAAAAAAAAGCGATTACTACAAATCTTACATATTTAATATTTTTTACCTTTAGGATGAAAAAACAACAAAATAATAACTTCTTGTTAAAGAACATTAAGAAAATTTCTTAAGGCAAGGCTTGCTAAGATCCTCAAATCAGAACCACATGCAAATCGTTTAAATTCAAATGCAATGTCACAAAAAAACAGGTTAAAACTCTCATTTGGGGCTCTAAAACGATTAACCATTGTGAAATGTGACATTTTATAGAAGAAAAAATTCTACACACCTGTTCCTTTTTCTTTAGATTTCCTAAACTTATGATTTACTTAAAAAAACTGATACTAATTCAATATACAGTAGTCTCCAAAAGATGACAGTATTATACAACATTAAGCCTGCCTGATTAAGTCATCTCTTGAAAGGAACTTAGAAATGGATAAAAAAATCACACATAGTTAGAGAATTTGTAGCTGAATTGCTTAAGTGAGAAGGGGAAATTAAATTTATTATGAGTAGCTTTTATTACTTCAGAGAATGTACGTGAAAATCTTTTCACAACAAATTCCTTCCCTGATAGTGTTAAATGCAAATTATCTTTTTTCTGCCTTACTCCAGAAGGCTCCTGCATACATAGCTGATACGCCACCTACTGCAAAACTGAGCTGACAGCGCAGGCGATGCTGCCAGCATTTCCATTCCATCATCAGACAGGGGCTGAATAAAGGCGTGTTTGTGTGGTAGTGTTTCTTTTTGAAAATCGCAAAGCCAAGGAGAGCAAGCTGAAATAGCATCTTCAAAAATGGAGCGTAAATTGAACAGAAGAGAAAAAGAAAAGGAGTACGAAGGGAAACACAACAGCCTGGAAGATGCTGATCAAGGGAAGAGCTGCAAATCCACACTGATGACCCTCAACGTTGGTGGATATTTATATATAACTCAAAAACAAACACTGACCAAGTACCCAGACACTTTCCTTGAAGGGATAGTAAATGGAAAAATCCTCTGCCCATTTGATGCTGATGGTCACTATTTCATAGACAGGGATGGGCTCCTCTTCAGGCATGTCCTAAACTTCCTACGAAATGGAGAACTTCTACTGCCCGAAGGGTTTCGAGAAAATCAACTTCTTGCACAAGAAGCAGAATTCTTTCAGCTCAAGGGACTGGCTGAGGAGGTGAAATCCAGGTGGGAAAAAGAACAGCTAACACCCAGAGAGACCACTTTCTTGGAAATAACAGATAACCACGATCGCTCACAAGGACTGAGAATCTTCTGTAATGCTCCTGATTTCATATCAAAAATAAAATCTCGCATTGTTCTGGTGTCCAAAAGCAGGCTGGATGGATTTCCAGAGGAGTTTTCAATATCATCAAATATCATTCAATTTAAATACTTCATAAAGTCTGAAAACGGCACCCGACTTGTATTAAAGGAAGATAACACCTTTGTCTGTACCTTGGAAACTCTTAAGTTTGAGGCTATAATGATGGCCTTAAAGTGTGGCTTTAGGCTGCTGACCAGCCTGGATTGTTCCAAGGGGTCAATTGTTCACAGCGATGCACTTCATTTTATCAAGTAATTACCTGTGTTTTGAACAAAGGCAACAAGCATGCAGCCAGCAAGCTTCGGGAAACCACAGCATCAAAGGCATCCCAAATAATGTGCCCAGCTAGCTCGGTATTCAAAGCCCTGCTGCTAATCAATTACTGTGAGCTAACGGTATGTAAATTCTATGGCTAATGATGTCCTTCTCTAGGGTGTTCCTGCTGATCAGACTCTTACACTTAAAATGAAAACAGTGATCTTCTATATATTGTAAATAAAGACTGATGGGTTTTTTTTTTTGTTTATTTTTCCTTAAGCTGTCTTTCAATCAGAATGGCTTGGGTACTTGCACAACAAACAAGCATGTACAGTATCTATCATTCATTTTAGTAAATGGTAAAATAATGTTTTAAGGGATTATTAGCTTTAAAATCCTTTTTACTTTTGGTAAAAATCTACAATGAAACTGAACTGGTAAAATTAACCAGCAAAACATGTGCAGATTTATTAAAACAGAGCTATAGTAAAAACAAAAAGAGATAACAAGGTAATAGAGCTATTGATTTAATTTTTAATGGTAGGCACCAAAAGCTTACTCAAAGTTCTTGTGTTTCATACCAGAATTATACTTGAATTGATATTTTGCTGACAATTCCTAGAAAACTGCTTGATGACAATAAAAAATAAAAGTACTGCTAGCTTCTTTGCTTGTATTAATAAATATAATAGTTACATGTGTCACTTTTAAAACAAATAGTACCACTTGATGATTTTGTACACTGATGTAGTCAACTGGCAGGTTATAGTAACCCTGCATTGTATTGCAACTGACAAAAATCAGCAAATTTATTTTTTTGCAAGCTGAGCTCCAATACAGCACGGACAACTTAGTCTCAAAAGAGTAGGTAGCAACCGAATAAAGAGCTCATTTCCACAATCTCCCCTAAATGTCAATTAAATGAACATGACTAAACATTATTCTTATGAAAGAATTTTATTCTTTTATAGTACCATTTTATAGTACATGATTCTTTTAAAAACCTATTTTAATGCTAAATCTCAGAATCACTGAGTTACTTGTTTACTTCATGCCAAACAAGAAGTTATTTTTTTAAAATTAAGTATTATTCTGTCAGTGAAGCAATCTAAAATTTAGTTTTAATTGTGAGTGCATTTTTTCTCTCCCAAAGAACAGCTAAATTATTTCTATGCCACTGACTTTCTTTGGCTTCTTAGAAAAATATTTTAAATTCACTTCTTTAAAATTTATTCATTAAAACTGTAACTAAATCTTAGTTTTAATAAACTTCAATGAAAGACTTCTGAAAATCTTGACCAAAGTTACACAAGTTATCATATAGGCTAAATGTTAGTTTATACATAAAATTTTAGGATAAATGAACAGCAAGTATTCCCAGAATTCTGAAAGCTAGTATTCCCAGAATTCTGACTGGCTTCATCAAAGGCAGTACAAAAGCTGGCAGTAAATACTAAAAAGAAATACTTAAAATTCATTGTACTAAAATTAAAAAGTCCTTTAAAAAATTCACATTAATAAAACCTCCACATCAATCATATAATCTTCTTTTATGTGTAACTAGAGTGTTTCTACTAAAACACCAAATTATCTCTTACTACTTTAAATGGCTTACTCAGGTTTTAAAGGAACTATGAAAACAGAAAAAAAGAGTAGTTTAGCCGTCTTTGTAATTGAATGGTTTATAAACCTCTCCAGCTTATGAGTCGGCTTTTCCTTGGCATTTGGACTTTGGTTAAAAAAAAAAAAAAAATTGGTAGTGATTTAATGTCAAAGCAAGATTTTCTCTAACAATATTTCATTACAGATAATAAAAAAATATCCTTGACATATCTTTTTACAGAAAATGTAGCTGAACAAATCTCCTAAGAAGTATTAGCAGGGGTTTTTTTTGTTTTGTTTTTTTGCATCAATTTACAAAGAGAATTTAGCTATTGTAATAAAATCATTATTTATGAAAATCATTACTAAAGAAAACAGATTCACTTGTATGTACATCTTTAAAATAATGGTATCTGGATGATTTAATTCCTCCTCAAGCTTTTGATAAATCATAATATCCTAAAGCTATTTAATGATCTAGAAGGAAATTAGACTACACTGACTACTCTTATGTAACTTTTCATAAATGTACCCTTTAAAATTCAAAATAACTTACACTTGGATTTACATATTCAAGTGCCTAAATATTATCTTGTAGGTGTACAGAAAATACCTAGTTTTAAATTGTATTACTTTCTAAAAATTTAGAGAGTTTCTATTAAAAAAATTCAAGAAATCACACAAAATGCCAATTATAAATCAGAGGGAAGCTGTCATATTCTTCTTTTCAGTCACTAAGAATTTCTTCCACAGAAAATATTTTTTCCTAAGTAAATATTGCTCTACAGAATAATCACAAAGTCGCTCTTCAAAAGAAAATAAAAAAGTAGATTGTTATACTTGCCATCAATCAAATATATATATATATATATATATATTTTCTTGTATTTGAAAGTATCTCACACTGATTCTAGCACTGCCCTTAAAAGAACTTGTGGTGTATTATATTTCTAAAATGTATATGGGAGCATGAAGAACAAATGAAAGGAAAAATTAAGGAGACTTTTCAAATAATACAAGAAAGATGCCTACCATCTCAGACTGAAGATGATAATACTAAGTAAGTTTGCAGAGCTAATTTTTTAAGGAAAACTCAAGTGCTACTCATAAGATGACAGTAAAAGGCAACCGTCATTAAACGTTTTATTACATACCAGATAGCATGTTACAAACATGTTATCTCAATTCTCGGAACAACCATAAGAAAAGTGCTGCTATTCTTACAGATGAAGAAACACACTTAGAGAGCTATGGAAGCTGCTAAGATCAGTAAGAGGGAGAGGTGGCACAAGGTTGGAAACCTAGATATCCCTCTTCCAGAGCCTACAGAGACCATGTCTGCTTGCAGGTCTCACATTAACACCCAGAACCTGGCATAGAAGAGGTATTCATGAGGTAGGTGCAGAATACAAAATAAGAAAATATGAGTTTGCCTCCCTTGATAAAATCTCACAATGCAGGTATTCTTAAAATGTTGAGTGACTTTTGGGAATGCAAATAATATTTTTAATGTCATGTCGTGTCATTTAAAGAACATGAGGTGAATCATCTCACAAGAGTAAAAAATATCTCAAATTTGTCTACTGGTAAATCTAGACTTTTCACATATAAGAAGACTTAACACTTTATGACTTGTACAGTCCAGACTGACATATTATGAGAAAGAATATGATGCAGATAAGTACACACAGACTCTTGAGTCTGACTTGTGTTCAAATTCTATCACTGTTCGCTAACTTGCTTAAGTGACCATAAACAAGATTCTTAACTTCTTTGAACTTCAACACTGTAAAATGGAGATAATAATCAGCTGACAAAGCTTTTATAGGTTTAAATTATAAATTATATGTAAAATAACTCATCATAGACTTTCAAAAAGCACTGGTTATTAATTTATGTATAAAGGTATCTTTATGACATAATCACAAAAACAAACACAAAAATGCACATTTACATTAACTAGGTTTTCTACTTAGACATGAACAGAATGGATAACTTTAAAAATGCATGCTTAATGCTGTGGTGAAATAGTGTAAGGTACAAGAAAATATCTTGAATTGTTATAGGCAAACGGTTTTCTTTTGTATTAGTTAAAAACACATATGATGAGTTTCTGGGAACTTTTATCTTCCAGTTTCATGTATGAAATTGCAAGAACAAAATAATTACTGCTGCTATTTTATCAGCAATTTAATATTAACCAGCAGTAATAAGTTGATAACACAGTCTTAAAGACATCTCTGTCTAATACAGAGAATGGGCTGGTGGTTTCCAAAAGCAAGGGGTAGGGAGAGGTGGACAGAATGGGTGAAAGGGGGTCAAAAGGCACAAGCTTCCAGTTACAAAATGAGTAAGATATGGGACTGTAGTGTAGTATCATTAATAATACTGTGATGCATATTGGAAAGTTGCTGAGAAAGAAGATCTTAAAAGTTCTGATCATAAAAAATGTAATTATATATGATAATGGATGTTAACTAGACTTATAGTGGTGATCATTTTGCAATATATGCAACTATTGAATCATTATGTTGTACACATGGAATGATATGTCAACTATACTCCAATAAAAAAGATGCCCCTATTTAATAAATTATGTTTAAATGTTTTGAACTCCAATGACGTTATTCAAAGTTAAAATTAGAGCATCTGACTCATAATTATCCTTGCTAATAAAGCAGAGATGTAATATGGACTATCTAAAAGAGCATGCAACTTAGAAATTATTTGCATTTACTTCTGAAATATATAATTACTACTTCTGTAGCCAGCTTAACTTTCTAATCATATTTCATTATAAGCTAATATTAAAAAATAATTTGCTTCTGTGAACAAACATCAAGGAGGGGAAATAAAAGAAAGTGTGCTAGATAGAGGGAAATACCTAAGATGAAGTTTATAATTTGTCTAAAATAACATATAAAGCAATGACTATGTTCTACTTCTTTGGACAAAGATAAACAACTATTCAAGAGTTTCTGTTACACAAAAATCACATATATTTTATTTATTTTATTTTTATTTATTTATTTTTTTTTGTGGGACCCTCGCCGGCGGCCGGGGAACGAACCAGCGCTGCAGAGGCTGCAGGCAGCCTCGCAGCCCAGCGCTCAACCGCTGCGCCACCAGGGGAGGTCCAAAAAAAAAAATCACATATATTTTATAAGTTATGTTAAAAATTTCCAGTTATAATATTGCAAAAATGTACACCATTAGTTTGAATAAAAAATATGGAAACTCTAGTTTTATTTCAATCACTAGTTATCTTTTTAAAATACTGAATTAGATGTTAAAGACTGAACAATTCTATTTCTTTATTATATATGTCTTAAAAAACAGTTCCCTACATTAAACACAATACAGCTAACCTAAGAGCACAACAGATTGTTCTAAACCTAGGATCCCAGAGTATTCAGTTACACTTAAAGCAAGTTTAGTAGCTATATATTTTTTAAGATCTAGTTTTTAAAAATTCTTTTTTAAGAATTTTCAAAGTAATTTAGATTAATGTTGTCTAGGAAGTTTGCCATGTATTTTTCTATATCATTAAAGCACAAAATTGAGCAAATCTATTGATTTCCTCTTAATTCCAGCCCACTGATTTTGTCTCATAACAGATGTTCATAATTTTTTTGAATTCTCAAGAATTATTGAATACTAGCTTTAATCTCACTGATGGCTTGAAGTTGTTAACTTTCTATGACTAAATATGGTTTTACAAAGAACTAGACCATTTAGCATTTACTTTAGGTATCATACCATTTGATGAGTATTAATTTATATTTTATTTTCAGAAAAACTTAAAAGTCTGAATGTAGAGACCCATGGTCCTACAACCTAAAATAACTATTTTATTACCAATATTTTATTAATATCATTAATGTTTAATTAATATCATTAATTTTGAATAATAATTATTAATATTAATATTTTAACCACATACAGACATTTTTAAAGGCACTCTTATAGAAAAAGGAAAGGCCACACATAGCTATGCACAGAAATATTAATAAAAGTTGAATGATTAACAGAAAAGCTAAGCAAAAGAATCTAAAAGTCATAGGTGACTGATTTATAAAACAACAAAATCAAAACATGCAACCACATTTAAAATACAGATTTACTTGTTATGACAAAGCCAAAAAACAAGGTATATTGACTCAGTACATAAATATTCAGTTACTCTGAGAACTGAATGTAGACTTTATTAAAATGTCATTGCAGCTCCCAGTTTTAGTTCCCTTTCCTCATTATCTTAATCAAAATATGGATTATTTGGATATTAGACACACTGC